CGGTCTACTTCATGTTCGCCAGTACTTCTCAGTGAAATACATCAACTTCTCCTTAAAGGAGCAATTCATCAAGTATTTCCATCTGATGGACTTCACGGATTCTATTCCAGATACTTTACGGTCCCCAAGCAGGATGGTGGTCTACATCCGATTTTGGATTTACGGGACTTGAATAAGTTTATTATACCGAGAAAGTTTTGTATGACCACCCTTCAAAACATTTTGCCGTTGTTAAGGAGAGGGGATTGGTTCGCCTCACTGGACCTGAAGGACGCCTACTTTCATATTTCAATTCATCCAACTTACAGGCGTTTCCTCCATTTTGCTGTTGTAAACCAACTTTATGAGTTCACAGTTCTACCCTTTGGACTGGCTACGGCTCCGAGAGTTTTTACCAAATGCATGGCTCCTGTCTGTGCCTTCCTACACCTTCAGGGCATACAAATTTATCTGTACCTCGATGACTGGCTGTTGGTCTCGCAATCCAGAGAAGGACTCCTAGACACCATCCATACAACCCATACCTTTCTAGATAGTCTGGGCCTACGTATTAATACAGAGAAATCTTCTCTTCTTCCGACACAGACGCTCACCTTCATCGGAGCCCGTTGTAGAAAGCCTTCCTCCCTCAGGACAGACAGCAGACTCTCGCTCGCCATATCCATCGAATCCGATGAGAGAGAAAGGTTAGAGTGAGATCCATCCAGAGGGTCCTGGGGTATATGGCCTCCTCATTTGCCGTAGTTCCACATGCCAGACTTTGGCTTCGCCCACTACAACTATTCTTCAACAAGGTGTATCATCCACAAAGGGACCCACAGTAGAAACGGATTCGGATCCCGTCTTCTGTGCTCCACTCCCTGTGCTGGTGGCTGAAACCGACCAATCTCGTGATGGGAGTCCCCTTCAGGGCGCGACCTCCTTCGATAACTCTCGGTACCGATGCGTCTCTCCTAGGATGGGGGGGCGATATGCTCTGGCCGGTCTACCCAGGGAACGTGGACTCATCTAGAATCCACAAATCATATCAACTTCCTAGAGCTGCTGGCAGTCTTCAAGGCCCTTCTTTCGAAAACCTTCTTCATCATCGGATCGTTCAGATAACTTTGGACAATATAGCGACCGTTTTTTATCTGAACAAGCAAGGAGGGACGAAGTCACCGACCTTAGCCAGGCTTTCTATGAGAATTTGGGACTGGTGCATTCAGAGAGACATTACTCTGATGGCCGTTCATCTGGCTGACACAGACAATGTGCATGCGGATCTTCTCAGCAGACACATCTTCACTTCTCACAAGTGGGAACTGGATCCTCGTACGCGCAACTACCTTTTCAGGCGCTGGGGGTTCCCCGATGTGGACTTATTCGCTACTCGACGGAACAGGGTATGCGAGACTTACTGTTCCAGAGCGGGAATCGGACAAGCATCCCTAGGGGACGCATTCATGATTCCTTGGGACAACATCAACTTCTATGCTTTCCCTCCGATTCCTCTTCTGATGAGGGTCATAGCAAAGATAGTGAGCGACCGTGCATCGGGGATACTACTTGCCCCTTGGTGGCCACGTCAAGCGTGGTTTGTGAAACTGCTCGACATCTCCCGCGAGGAGTTTCTTCATCTTCCAACACTTCCATATCTTATAACGCAAATGGACGGCACACTTCGTCACCTGGACTTGCTCTCATTGAACCTGACAGCGTGGCGGATTCGATGATTGACCTTCCATTGGGGCCGATGATGGATTCGAGAGCCTCGAATCCGACAGCTTCTACTAACCCATCAGTACCGACGGTTACTTTGACCACTTCGGTTCCAGTTCTTGAATCCAACCATGTGGGTGCCTCTCACTGCCACAGTCTCTCCGTACCATCCGGTTCGAGACAGGCCCCGTCGAATTCGAACCCAATGCTCTTGCACCCTGAGATTCAGCATATTATCGACTCTGCCCTAAAGCCGTCCACAAGGAAGTCATATACGGCTAAATGGAAACGTTTTTCCACCTTTGCCGAGTGTCATTCGTTCTCCCCACTTGTCTCATCAATCGAACAAATTCTTCAGTTCCTTCTGGAGTTGCATCACTCTGGACTGAAGCCGTCTTCTATTAAAGTGTATATGGCCGCAATAGCCTACCACCGTGGCTTAGTCGACAGATCACCCCTATTTTCTCATCCTATCCTCAAGAGTTTTTTGAAAGGACTGTATAATCTTAATCCATCAATTAGACTGGTTATGCCCACGTGGAGCCTTTCTGTAGTTCTACAGGCCCTTATGAAGGCCCCCTTTGAACCTTTGGTGACTGTGGATCTCCGATTAGTTTTTTGGAAGACGGCAGTCCTTGTAGCTGTCACGTCAGCCCGGAGGACCAGTGAACTTTGTGCCCTCCGCGTCAACCCTCCTTATCTAAACTTCCACAGAGAAAAGGTCGTTTTACGTCTCGACCCATCTTTCTTGCCCAAAGTCTCTACACCTTTCCATACAGGACAAGACATTGTACTGCCTGCCTTTTTTCCATCGCCGTCAAATCCCTTGGAAAGATCCTTGCACTCCCTCGACGTTCGGCGTTGTTTAGCCTTTTATCGATCGCGAACGGAGTCTATTCAGCAATCCAATAAACTGTTCATCAAATATTCGGCTAGAGACCAGGGCGACCCAGTCACTCCACAAAGGCTTTCTAAATGGATAGTCCACACTATTGTCTTGTGTTATCAGTTAGCTAAGCTCGAACTGCCCTCAGTTCCTCGAGGCCATTCTACTATAGCTGTCGCTACATCTTCTGCATTTGCATCTGGGGTTCCGATTGATGATGTCTGCCGAGCTGCTACTTGGGCGAATCCCTGCACTTTCGCCAAGCATTACCGTCTCGATGTTCGGGCTCGACGGGACTGCTCCTTCGGTAGAGCTGTTCTCTCCTCCGTCCTTCGATAAGGACACCTTCCCTCCTCCTTTGATGGTAAGCTTGTTAATCTACCCATATGTGTGATGCACAGAGGCCATGATGAAGAAAAGCAGATTGCTTACCTGTAATTGATGTTCTTCGAGTGGCCATCTGTGCAGTCACACAACCCGCCTGCTGGCCCCGCTCGGTGTCGGTGAGTGGATGCATCGACAGCTCAATGTCGATGAGAGAGGGCATCTTCGGTACCGACCATCTCCTTTACGGTACCGACAAAAAAAAAAAAATCTATTAAGATACTGTACGTTCAGTTGCAAAGACTGAACAAAATGGCGGACGCTCCGCTCTTTATAGGCCACAAGGGGGAGGGGGAGCGGAGCTTCCCGCCAAAAACTGTTAGCTATCAATCTTCCGGCCAAAGGCACTGCGTAGGCGCAGTACCCATATGTGTGACTGCACAGATGGCCACTTGAAGAACATCAGTTACAGGTAAGCAACCTGCTTTTCTTTGCCAGTTCCAGTTAGAAGAGCATTCTCATTTATGGAAGGACTGGCCCTCATCTGGCTAGTTTTTAGTGTCTTCACTGAGTGTTTTGGGTGATATTTGGTGGATATTTTTGGTGAATCCAGTTGGTGTCTCATTCCGGCATGCATAGCAGGTATCGGCAGTCTTACACATGCACATTCCTAAGCAAGGAGCATTTCTGAAATGGCAGCCGCTGGTTGCTATTTCTGGCAGGTAGGCCTTTCCCCATTTTAACAGATGCTGGATTTTTATCTGGGGAGCTAGATTTTAAAATCATGCACTGGAGAAGGATCAAGGAATCCCCCCTTTACTCAGTTTCTCCATGTCTCACAAGTTCATGAGATCCACTCATTTCACCAGACCCTTCCTGCAAGGCATATCTGTGGTCTTCATTCCACCTGGCATTGTCCAGATTTCAAGGAATCTTGATTCTCTTCTGAACTGCATTAGCAAATAGTTTTATTTCGTTTATTTCATGTCCCTGTAACATGGATGAAGCAAAGTGCAAGATCAAGCCACATATGAACAGCAACATCCCAATAGAAACAGGGAGAAAGCTTACAATATCTCACCTGCACAAACCAAAAGAGGGGTGAGCAACCAACCACCCCCAGCCGAATTTCAGAAGTCCATTTGGACCTCTGGCAGGGTGACCTTTCTCCTCCTGGCAGCTACTGCCTAGGCAGGAAAAATGGGGAAGAGAGAGGGAGAAATGAGAGTACTAGAAAGAGAAGGATCCAGAGGGTGTGGGCAAAGGGAGGAGGAAGGGGTGGCCTCACAGTTGGTTCTGGCCTCGGCCGCTGCCAACATGCCGCCTTTAGCAGAAGATGCGTAAATGCCTGGGGATTACTGCAAATGGATCAGCATCCAGGGATGCATCTCCACAAGGAAAGGTCTTACGAAGTGGGGCTAGAAATTTTCCCAGTCCAAATGCTCAGAGAACAGCCACTCCCCAGAGCAGACACAGCTGGGGGGGGGGGCTGCTTCATGATAGTTACCACCTCCCTGCATTCAAAACAATATGGAGAATAAAACTGAAATGAAGACCCTCTTGATTGGCCGCAGCAGAAGGCCAAGGGCAACATCGCAAACAGGCAGGGTCCATACCTTACTTTGCTTTAAAAAAACATCATTTTAACACTGTTAATAATAAATCTCATTACAATAACCAGGGCTAGCTACCAAAGGTAAGGTTCTGGGAAACACCTGGTCAGCCATGAGTCTCATGTGGTTGGTGGGAGTACTCCAAGCCAGAAGCCCCCCAGATGTTAGTGGAGAGATCAGTCCGCAAAAGTGCCAGTCTGCTACCGGCTGGATGTTCTGGACTACACCTTACATAAACCACAGCCAGTATGGCCACTGGTTGGGAATGATAGGAGTTACTATCCGGAGTCTGAACCACCTGAGCAGCACCAGGTGTCTGCTCCTCAACCCATCTTCTCGACAGAAAGAGGAAGATAGCCCTGGCACTGGCTTACATGCAAAATTCCTCCTTCGTGAGAAGAAGTGAGGGAGTTACTGATGGTTGTCACTTCCAACTGCGGTCTCTCACTGGTCTGCCTTCTCGTTTTCTGAACCAGGCCAGAAAATGATGCCATTTCTTCCTGTGGCAGCAGGAATAGCTGTGTCCAACAGGGGCAGAACCCCCGCCCCCCGACATGCAGTGGGAAGAGACCCAGCCTTTCGGAACGTTGCTCCTCTTCAGCCTGTAAGTATTTGAAAGACTGGAGATGAGTTTAAGTCTGCCGTTCAGAAGTGGTCACTAAACAGCCTACTCTGGGCAAGAGATTATTTAATGTCAGTGAGCTTTAAAGCTTTGAGAATCAGCAGGTTGCGATAGAGGACATAGGAACCAGATCCCAACATTGGCTTGGAGTGTGAGGAGACAGAGGATAAGATTGGAATGCCAGAGAATCATATTTATCTGTTAAAATATGTTTAAACTTTTAAATGTGTTTTAAATGTGTTTAAAACCACACATTCACCCAAAATCTGCTCCCATGGCAGCTGGGATGGATTTAGGGGTAGGTCATAACTCAGTGGTAGAACATGTGCAGAAGGCATTTGCTTATAGAGAATTATGTTGGGCCACGTTTAAGGGTAGAAAACCTCTTTCAGATTTAATCCTTAAGCATCTCCACATCAAGTTGGAAAAGATCTCTCTTTTTAATAAAAGGTATAGGATTTGGGAATAAAATTAAGATTAGCTTATTTGCAGATGATTCATTATTAATGACAGAAGATCCAGTTAAGGTTATGGAGCAGATTAAAATACATTTAACAGAAATTTGGAGAAATAACAGGTTTACAAGTAAATTGGGACAAATCGGAAATTATGCTATTTAATTGTTATCAAGTAGAAAAGGATGAGAATAAGTGCAAGTTAGAAATTAAGATATGTAAAATCATTAAGTATTTAGGTGTAAATATTGCAAAAAATTGCAAAGTTTAAGAGGGAATAATTTTGAAAAGTTAAAATATGAAATGAAAGAGAACATGAATGAATTTAGAAGGTGGGTTTATCATGGTTTGGTAGAATAGCAGCATCGAAGGGCAGGGAGACAGGTGCAGCTGAATCCTGGGCCCACATTGGGTGGGGAGCCCTCCCACATCCAGCTCCCAACCATTTCAGCAGAGAAGAACTTTCTTCCGGATCGTGCCTTTTATCCAGTATCACAAGTGGAGATGCCATCGGGAGATTTTGCCTCAAACTTGCCACTTTCTTGGGCTATTCCTGGGGCAATCTGGTCTAAAACCTCTCCACTACCTGGGTAGCTTACTAGCGACTTTGCATTAGCCATAAGTGCAGTGTCTACTTGGCAGTACGAGGGAAGCGGCATAGGGATGAGCAGCTCATGAAACTGAACTGCAAAGCACTCCCTCCAGAGTCTGAAATGTTCCTTTCTTCAAACAGCGTTTGGAACAGAAGCTTCCGAGAGGTCCTTGGATCTTGGAGCAGGTCGGTGCATCCCTCCAGGTGCAGATGTCCTGACTCTCCAGTCCACCAGGAATTCCCAGGATAGGTATGTGAGTAGCTGTAGGTCGGCGTTCCCTCACCTAGTGTCCTCCAGATGTACAGGGCTGCAGTCCCATCTTCCCCAGCCAGCATGGGGAATTGCTGCAGTTCGTTTTCTGAAATGTGAGGGTGGAAATGAGCAACCTCTGCATTCTAGAACAGTGTGCTTGGCAAGTGCCGGTATTGTGTTCCCACCTCTGGTGGCCAAATTATGGTTGTTTTTAATGGAGAAGTTCTTTGCTGAATGGGAGGAAGTGACATGAACCAGAATTTTCTTCGCCCTTCCTGACCATTCTGTGTATGTGTTTACAGTTTCCTGTTGCAAAATGTGATTTACAATTAGAACAGTTGGAACATGTGAGAGTATGCCAAGCAAGAACCCTGATTGATTTTTTTTTTTTTTTTTTTGCATCACTGAAATGCTTTGCTAGGCTGGTGTTCTTGCCTATTCTGCAGTGCTATTCTGTGATTTTAGAATGAAATAGTAATAGAGTTGGAAGGGGCCTGTATGTTTCCCATTACCCATCCAGCTTCACCCCCAGACCTTCCAGCTCAGCAAAGGAGACTCAACATGCCGGCTGTCCCTTGCAACTATTAAATTACTTCAACTATTATTATTGTTAATTTCATTTCTGTACTGCCCGGCAGCTGAAGATATCTGGACAATTCACAACAAACATGTAAATATGATAGCAAAAATGGATGGCAATTAAAACACAAACAACAATAAAATATAATACAATGAAAAATTCCAGTATACTAAATGTACAGCCATGTAAACAACTAGAAAAGTTTCAGTAAAAACTAGACCTGTTAAAACAGCTGGCGTGTCCCTTCATATGCCATTAAAGAGAGGGCAGTCTTAACCCGGCACTGAAAAGATGGCAATGTTGGCGCCAGGAGAGCTTCGCTGCAGAGATGCTTCCATAGTGGGGTGCCAGCACTGGGAAGACCCTGCTCGTTGTGCCTTCTGCAGAGGTGGCAGTCAGATGAAGGCCTTAAATGCAGAACACAGCATCCAGGTAGACGTGGTTGGGAGAGGCATCCTGTCAGCCTCCGGCCAGGGATTCTGCCATTCTGTCCAGCACAGTTTATAGGTTGGAACCGGCACCTTGCCTTGAGCTTGGAGGCAGCGCAGAATTGATCATGTGCGTTCAGATGATCTGGTCACAGTTACTAATCTGGCTGCTGAATTTTGCACAAGCTGCAGCTTCTGGACAGCCTTCAAGGGCAGCCCGTCTGTGATCTGCTTGGGGATGGGCATGTTTGCCTGTGGAAAAATTGCCAGAAGCTGCTCACCGCTCGTGGGGGAGAGCAGATGCTAAAGTGAAACCAGGCTTGGTGAAGGTTGACAGAGCAATGCTGCAAATGTCAGTGTTAGCACAGTCCTGTGGCTTGTGCATCAGATCCAGCCGGCCATGTGGTTTTTCAGAAAACCAACTATGAGATCACCAAGTCACACCAACCTCATAACTGTGTCTCCATGCTCAGCTGTCACGTACACCCACTGTTGCATTGCAGGACTGCCTCTGACATACAAGCAAGAGCAAGCCCCAAGAAGGGTGTGGGGGTCAGTCTAGGGGGCCGGGAGTGGAGACTGCCAGGGCTCAGAATATCCTCTGGCCCTCCATGCTGAAGCACCTCGGCTAGGCAGGGAAAGCTTGCTGTCAGGATGCAGCGATCTTTGGCCTCCGTGCTGTGCTGCCTCCCTCTATAGGATGCCTACAATCCTCCAAGTCCTGTGGACTGCAGGCATTCCTGATTGGATTGTGCCCTTCAACACATAGGACCTCACAAAGAGCCCTAAACACATGGACTGGCAATATGACTTGGAATGCAGTGGCTTAAGATGTCCCTTGAGCCTGCCTGCCTGCCTGCCTGCCTGCCTGCCTGCCTGCCTGCCTTCCTTCCTTCCTTCCTTCCTTCCTTCCTTCCTTCCTTCCTTCCTTCCTTCCTTCCTTCAGAGCTTTTCTGTACCGTCATTACCAAAAGTCTCAGGATGGTCTTACAATAAAATTAAAATAACGATTTAAACCTTAAAATGCTGGGAAAATAAAAAGGGTTTGGCCTGGCACTGAAAAGAATATAGTGTCAGTGCCCGGTGAACCTCTCTGGGGAGCGTGTTCCATAACCAGGGCACCGCCACTGAGAAAGCCTTCCTCCAGGTAGCCGCTCTCCTAATCCTCAAAGAGGGCTCCCGAAGAAGGCGCTCCGGCCCAGATTGTAAGGGGCGGGCAGGTGCACAGGGAAGGAGACGCTTCCCATTCCCTGTTATGGGACTGCAAATGCCACTGACTTGACTTGGCCTGGCTGAGGAGCCCACATCCGCTAGCAGGCAGTTTGACCTTACACGCCAACAAATTAAAAAACCTATATTTTGCCATGGAAGAGCAGCATTCTGTAGTTAAATTATGACAAATGCTTGTAAAATTCTATGAATGAGACAGGATGACCATGTTACAAAAGCCTTGTTTGAAATCACGTCTGGAAGGTGACACTTTAGCAGAAACTTCCAATGGCAACTGTTCAAGAGCCATCCCTTTTTTTTGGAGGGGGGCACTTTTGCTGCCGCCTGTCAAGGTTGCTGCCTTTATTTATTTATTTAGAAAATTTCTATGCTGCCCCATTCGCTGAAGCCTCGGGGCGGCTCACAAAGGTAACATATTTATATGTTGATCTGAAGTGTTTCTGTGCTGCCATTCAGCCAGAGAGGCTTTCCTATAATCTCTTAAACAAGACAATCTCTGCTCATAGGCTTATAGTTTTAAAAGGCCATGACACACAAGGAAAAAGGAATGGGGAGGGAAGAGGAAAAATGCATTGTTTCCTGCAGGGCTGGTGGTCTGGCCCTGGCCTCCCTCGCCTCCCCCTCAGTGCTGCCTGCTAGAAACAGCTGCTGGCAGTAGCAGCTGAGGGAGACGACTTTCCAAGCGACCATCCTGGCTTGGGCAGGGGGCTGGACCACAGGGTCTCTCAAGTCCTGTGCAGCTCCATGATTCCTATGTTCTGCTTGGCTTCTCACTTAAAAGCAATAATCATGTTTAAAATATTGCTGGGGTGGGATTTATTTTGCTTGCTTTCCATCCTTTTGTTCCGGAAATTTCAGGGCCGCTTCTGCTGGACTCTGCCCCAGTTCTCGTCCACGTGCCGTGCAGGTTCACATCAGTTTAGCATCAGCTGCATTTTAGATTTGGTCCTCCATGCAGCCGCAGGCCACCTGAGCACCCGCAACCAGCACAAGTGGTTTCCGAGGAGGAAAAACGGCCTTTTCCCATCAATAATAATACGACGCTTCCTTTCTTCTTTTTTTCAAATGTGCAAATTCGTGAACAAAGCACTGCCTGCAACAAAGAGATGCAAATCCTGAGAAGCCAATATTGATCGCTAGGTTAGGGAGAGCCTTGGAAAACCTTTCCCTTCCTATTCCCATGGCACATGGGAGGAAGCCACTCATGTAGCCTGCAGTGGCCCCAGTCCCTTGGGATCCCAGACCTTGTCAGCCCTGTGGGATCAAGTGAGAAACCAGACCAAAGGCCCTGTTATCTGCAGCCTGGTAGATTCCATTGAGCGGTATGAGAACCTTGCGGAGATGTTCCTTTAATCGTGCAGCAGAAAATGCAAATGTTTTCAGGGTTTTTCTCCATCGTCATGAGGACTTGGCACCTGCCCTTTTGTAGAAACGAAAGGTGAGACTTTTGGGACTCATCACACACCCTCTGATTCCCAGGCACTTTGAGCCCCAGGCTAAGTCCACTCAGCAGGGATATGTCATACCTGAATTGCTTCCCTAGTGCAATTTTAGGTGCATATAATAACATGTTTCCTGGAATCAGTGGGCAGGTGGGAGCATTTTGTTCTTTTACACATTAAGCCCTCTCACAACTTTTATAGCTTATGAGTCACTGACCACCTATCACAATATTTCTGCCCAAGTTATTTGTATGCCTTCAATTTGCTTTCTACCAGGAAGGCAAATACTGGAGTGGCACAGATTGTGCTTGCAGATAAAGATGTATATCTCTGTTTAAAAGACCAGGGCAGGGAAGTGGCTTCTCAAGTGCTCCTGCTTAACTAATTTTGCTAGAGTAGCTCCTTGTTATCATCAGTGGGGGCTCTCAGAGAAGCCTCTTGGGTATTTTGATTTGCCCTTGGGCAACTTAGTGGTTGCTTAATCCTGGTTTGATCCCAGGATGTGATAAGAGCTGTTGGGCATCTGTAAGACAGACCCTCTGCCCGCAGATCTGTTTTCCCTGGATCTGAAATTCCACTGAGAGCATTTCCAGGGGGCTCACGCCATTTGCATGTGATTCCGGGCACCTCCAGTTAAGAGATCCCAGGCAGGCAGCAGGCTGAGGAAACCCCATTCTTTGGAGAGAAGCTTTGAATCTCTGCCAGGTCGCATCCTGCGTCCAGCTCTCCACCTCTAGGCAGCGGTTTGGCAGAGGGGCTGGGGGCAGCCGTTTTGTCTGCAGGCTGAACTGGGCGTGATGCACAATATCTCAACAGGTTTTCGGCCTTCAGGGGAATTAGGGCCTGAGCGGGAGGCTGTTCTGCCCCTTCCTCCTCACGCCACTTCCTGCAATCAAACCCCCTCTCCCAGGGGGGGAAGACCAGGCTGCCTCCTTCAGAAGGCATCTGCTCAGGGAAGTGGGTCCAGTCCCACCTCTCACAGGGCCTCCACCCCAGTCCAGTCCAGACTTCTCACGCCCTCCTTTTGCCTTCGAGAAAGACTTCAGGAGACCTCCACCTCTGCTTCCAGTCATCTCTGCATCGGGTCCCTTTCCCTTTCCAAAAGGCATCCCTCCAGATTTTGAGGCTAAGGCCGTGGGCTCCTTGCAGGTCTTGTGCGGCAGCTGCTTTCTCCCTACTCAGCCTTTCTGTGGGGAAGAAGCGAAGAAGCAGTGAGGAAGGAAGGGGCTGCAAGTGGATGAGGAGCCCTCTCCCCCGTAGGATTCTCCAAATGAGGTGGTGCCGTAAACCCCACACCTGGAGGCACCCTGAGAATGGGCTAGAGGGTGTCCTGCAAGATGGAGGGCAGTCCCTGCAAATAGGGCACTCAGGGTGTTGGGTTCAACCTGCCTCCAACCCGTGGCCCTGCACCCCCAGACTCCCACGATGCACCGGGGGGGGGGCAGACTCCCACGATGCACTGGGGGCCTGTGGCAGTTGTCTCAGCTGAAGTGCAAGCATGAACAGCAAGGCCTTTGTTGAGGATCCAGGCATGCATGCATCAGCCTCCCCTCCAGAAGGGAAGGGCCACAACTCGCATCATCCCCAGCCATTGGCCACCATTGCTGGGGGTGGTGGGGTTTGTAGTCCAGCCTGTGAAGAGTGCAAGTTTGGGAAGACTGATGCGTGTCATGTGGATTCAACAAGACCAGTGGGTTGTTGACAACAGGTTGCCCACAGGTCAGGCTGTTAGCTGGCCCATACACCAACCTGGCCCTCCAGCGCTGCCTGTCAGACTGTTTCACTGGGAGAGGCGCCTTGCGCTTCCTCCGTCAGCACTGGATGTCTGAGTTCATTTCCAAGGGTGGAGACTGAGTTCCTGCCAGCTCACAGCCACTTTTGGCAAGACCTTCCCCGTTGGGTTGGTCGGCAAGATATCCTGGAAAGATAGGGGAGAGCAGCTGTCACGGGAAAGTGAGTTGCTCAAACAGGCCCGTTGACTGCAGCCACTGGGGACAGATATTTGCAGATGGCAAACATCGAGCGATGGGCTGTGCGAGGAGGTGGAGGTGCAGCCAGAGGATGGGGAGCCCTGGGAGTGTGGCCAGCACACGCCGTTCCTTTCCGGAGCAGGGCTCTCCAGTTCACTGCCTCCCCTCCTGCCCATCGGGAGGACTCCCTTGGGCAGAAAGGGCTTCTCGCCCAGTGGGAATGCTCACGCCCCCTGTGATCCCTTTCCTCCTCGGGAGAACCAGGGTGCTCCCTGCTGGGTGGGCTGCGTCGTTGCCGTGAGAGCTGCTGCACCTCAGAGCCATCGGTGTGCTGCAGTCACGGAACACGTTTTGGGATGCTCTCTAAAGGGGATGGTAACGGCTCAAGCACACCTTTGCCTCAGAATGACTCCTCTCGAATCTGCTTGCGTTCGAAGGCCAGTTGCGCCCACACGTGTGGAGGGAAACTGTGGTTCTCTCTGCCCATGCTCAGAGGCACGTTCCTTCATTACTGCACCTAGGAATCCCAGAGGTTGCCTTTAGGACAAAATCAGTCCCCTGCTTTAATTCCATTTTCCCTCTTGCAGTGACTTCCTTTCCGGCTTTGCCAGCAAGCCCAAGCTCCCCTGCTCGCCGGACGTGCAGGAGGCCAGGCCTGGAAGGGGAAAGACCACAACCATTGCTCCGCTCTTCTCCCAGTCTGGCCCACAGCAAAGCAGCCGGCCTGGTTCTTCTGGATCGTCAGCAAGAAGCAGGCAGAGTAGGAGCAAAAGTTTGTTCATTTGTTTGTTTGTTTGTTTGTTTAGAAAATGTCTATGCCGCCCCATTCACCGAAGCCTTGGGGCGGCTCACAAACATAGTTCCTTGGCACTTCGTTGTTCGGTGGCCTGGGCCAGGGCTGAAGGGATGCCCCGGCAGCAGCTGTGTGTGTGTGTGGCCGGAAGGTTCCTCTCGGTGAAGCGCGGCCCGGGAGGGGCCCCTCAGTGGCGCCAGCTGCTTTGGACTCAGTTGCTGCTGCGCACTGCCAGCTGCGAAGGTGGGCTTGGGCACAGGCTCCCCTCGGCTCGCCTGGTGGGCTCACGCGTGTCGCTTTTTGCTTCCTCCTTCCTGCTTCATTGTATTTTTGTGGCTGCTGCTTTTCCGCTGCTTCTGCATCTTTTCTTGTGGTGCACCACCCTGGGTGGGCTTCTGCCTTGCCGACAGACCCCAGATAAATAAGTACAGGATTAATGCACTGGCGCCTGCCACTCGTAGGGTCTCCGTAACAGTGTACAGCAAGCGCACCGCCAACACCCAGAGTTCGTGCACACGGTGCCACCCAGCGGCCCACGGCAGGTCCGGAGAGCAGCCGCCACCTCCCGCCTGCGTTCCCAAGAAACGCGTGCGCAGGTGGCCCTGGAGAGTCGCCGCCTCCTCCATGCATTTGTCCCGTGCCCGCTAAAGCTGCCCAAATTGCCGACCGCCCCGTGACACGGCTGAGCTCGCCTGTCTTGGTTGCTGTTGGCAGAGGGCCACATCGGGACGAGGCTCGAGTGATTTCACACCCTTGCCAGAGAGGGGCGGCACAGCTGGGATCAGACGAGCAGATGCCCCAGCCTGGGGGCACGTTCTCGCTGCTGCTCCGCCGTGGTGCCCACTGTTCATTCACAGCTGAGCATCCTTCACGCCGCCTCCCGCGATCCATCCCAGACCAAGAGGACGTTCACAAAGACTGCTTCTTCCTTGCTTCCTGCTTTGCTCCGGTCGCTGCCATGTTGTGCTAAAAGGAAGCATGGCCGAGGCGCAGATGAGCAAACAGCCTGGGAAGCGGTCCCTCGATCCCGCGTTCTTTCAGCTTTCCCAGGAAGGTGGGACAGAACCTCTGGGCACACGGGCAGGGTAGCAAAGGAAGGCTCCCTTGGCACCGACAGGGGGACTTGCAGCTCTTCCCCGTGCAGGCCACACAGTTATGCTTGGCAAAAAGAGCTTCCCGTTCTCTCCATTCAGACTTTCTGCTGCTCAGCCTCCCCGGCAACCGGCCCAGATTTCTGTATTGTCCACGGGACAGCTGCACAAATGCAAGATAGCTTATCTGTCCAGCTTATCTCTCGCGCACAGTTTCTGTGAACCGATGATCCCTGCAGAGTGTCTTTGGTGTGTGTGGCAGCTCGCGAATTTCTGCTCTGAGGAGCTGATGACTGAACAGAGGCAGGGGGAAGAATCACAGGCACAAGCAAACCAGAAAGGACTGTAAGGCCGTACGAAGCTGTCTTCCTTGGACTCAGCTGAGTTGGGCGATTTGTCTGTCCATCCGTCTGTCTTGGCTGGCGGCTGTTCTCAGGCTCCTCAGGCAGAAGTGGGACGGTGCGCTTCATCCTTTCTTAACAGGAGAGGCTGCCAGGGATTGAGGTGTGGACCTTCTGCGCACAAAGCAAGTCCAGGCTGCCCTGGGGAGCGAGAAGGAGAGATGCAGACCTTTTTCCAGCAATGTGCAAGGAACACGCTTTGAAGGGGAAAGCCGGCATTTGCCGACATGGGCGCCCTTCAAGCTGCAGCGGCATGGGTGCCTCTTGAACGTGGGAACTGGCTCCCAGGTGCAGTTGGATCGGGTCAGGGGGTGCAGAGGCTTTCCTAACGACTCTTCTGCTCATCGTTGCATCGCCCCTTTTGAGTCGCTGGGAATGAGCAAGCAGTGCTCATGGACTGATTTATCTTCAAAAGGGACCCAGTCCTGAGATGAAGGGGTGCTGGGAGCTGGAAGGAGGGCCGGAAGCCGCAGGATCCTGTCCCGGCATGGAAATCCCCGTTTCCGCTGAAGGTCACGTGCAGCCCCGAACATGCAACGGGCACACGCTGGGTGCAGTGGACCACTCCGTCTCCCTGGCTTGTCTCTGCTGTATGTTAAGGGACTCGCATCCACCCGGAGTGCTTTGGGTCTTTCCTGCAGTTGCAGAAGAGAAAATGCAGGGCCCTCCCGGAGAACCATCCCCAGTGCCCAGACTGTCCGCTTTCCTGGGAACGTTGGAGCTGGACATGCAGTCAAGGGAACAGAAGCGAAAATGGAGCTGCCCAAGGAGAAAGGAGCTGCGTCTAACGGAGCCTTCCTCAACTGCATGTCCTCCGAATCTGTTGAGCTGCAATTCCCAAAAGGCCATGCTGGCTGGGGATGGCGGGGGTCTCAGTCCAGCGTACGTTGCGGGGTTCAGGTTGCAGGAGGCTGCTCAGAGCTGTGGTTGTTGGGAGCTGGAAAGAAACAGAGACACAGGGCGCGTCAGAAGGGGACTCCTGGGCCATCTAGTCTGACCCTCGGCTCCGCTCATGTCATACCCAAGAACGCTCCTCCCAGGTCAGATTGGCAAGGAGGGCGAAAGTTAGATGCTGTGGCTGCAGGAAGGGAGCAGGCGCTGCTTCGGGGAGCTGAGGACAGGCCGGCCTTCCCTGCGATCGGGGCGTCCCTCGTGCAGTGGCGAGGGACTGGACCACGGGTAATGCAATGCCTGGTTCCACTCTCGCGTCTGTGAGTAAATAAAGTCACTGCAGCCCCTTCTCCAGCAGCAGCTCATGTGAATCTGCGAGGGAGGGAGAAGGTCATTGGGGGCCTAGCCCCCACCCGCTCCTTCCACCAGCGTGGCTGAGGCATTTGCTCATCCATCGATCGCTAAGCAGGCACCGAAATCGCCATAGCTCGCAGGTGTCTGGCACCAGCCCTTTGTGCAGCTGTCCCCAGCGCTCGCCAACGCTGCGGTTTCAGGTCAGGTTCTTCTGTGCCGCTCTTTCGGCATGGCGTTTGTGAATAGGCCGCGCGAGTGTCACCCCGAGGACAGAAACGGCCTTTCCTGAATGCCGCTTCAGCCGCTGAGCGCCCCTCTCGCTTTCTCTCTTGCCCGTCTCCTGCAGGCAGCCAGTCCTCCAGGAAGTGAGGACAAGCCCTTTCCTCAGCAGTCCACCTGCCCCGGTGCTTCGGGGGAGAGGCGGCCAGCTTCCTGTAACAGGAATCCCCACATCTCCGGCAGCCTGCACAGCCAGCAGGGGAAGCTGTCAGCACCGCGCCACGGGCAGCGAGGGCCAGATGGGACGCACCTTCTCGGCCCCCACCGCAGTCGCTGCCCCAGTCCCACGCTCTGCCCGTGCCTGGAAGACGCTGCGCCGCTGGGGCAGTGGGGCTCTGTTTCCCTCCTCGGAGCATCGCGAGACCAGAGCAGCCAGGCCTCTACGTCTGCCTGCAGCCGACCGCATCAGACACGCTCGCGCCCCTGCTGCCCCTGCCTTGCCCTCCCTCTCCTCAGCCTTCTGCCACGGCTCCCCCGCCCCTGCCAGGCCTGTGGCAGCTGCTTTTGTCCTCCCCGAGAAGCTGTGGGGATCGCAGGCCAGCAGCCTCTGCAAGCTGCAAGTCCGGCGCCAAGCCTGGCCGCTCCGGTGGCACTTGGTTTCGGAGCCAGATTTGGGTTGGTCGGACTTGGGCAGCGCGTCTGGGACGCACGTGCCAGAAGGCCCTTCTGGGGCAGGTGTCGCCAGGGCTGGAGGTGTGAGACCGGCCGCCCGGCTGCCGGCGGCGCTCCCGTCTCACGCCCTGATTCTCCCCTTCCTTTGGGAGGACTCCTGCCATGAGCCAGAGCCGGCGCTTCCATGGACAAGCGCCTGCGCACCCACAAGATTGTCCCCTGGTATTGGGGAGGCCTGGGGTCAAGCGCCAGCTGGCCAGCCTGGTGCCCTCCAGATACGCGGCACTGCAAGGCGGCCGGGTGAGGACGGTTGGAGGGGTGGTCAGCACGCTTGGAGAGCGGTGGGTGGGGGAAAGCTGGCCTGTGCTCTTGGGCCAACCCACCAGCATCGGTGGCACTGAGTGGAGCAGCAGAGCTCAGTGACCCCCCATGAGAAAGGAGAGTTTCTTGCGGACTGTTTGGTCCCCCGGCAAGAATGAAATGCTGAGCTGTTACCTTTCATGTCCGTAGAGGTAAATGTAATCTCTGTCGGTCAGCAGCATGCCGGGCAGTGTGCAGACCAGGCAGAGCCGCGTGCAGAGTGCCCGCGATCCCCAGTAAGTGGCCGGGACAGGAGCAGGCCCGTGGCCTGTGGCAGCAAGAGCAGAACGGCTGGGGGCGGGGGGGGGGGGGAGCGGCAGCTCCTGGAGAAGCCTGTAAAGCAGGAAACGGGCCAGGAATGAGGAGAGTGGTGGGTGCTGTTGGCCAGGGAGAAGTGCTGCCAGCCGAGACAGAGGAAACAACCCCACATTTTTCAGGAGAGAAGGCATCTGTGGGGAAGTCTGGGCTTGAGGATGAGACCCTTGAATGGGATGTAGAGTGAGGCAGGGAGCTGTTTAAGATTGTCGGGACGAGGGAAAGGGGAACCCTGGGGCCAATACAGAGGCAGGTAGGTTGAATGAATAAATGAAGGGGAATCCTCAGTGGAAAAGATGATTGTAGAAGAGGCATTTAGGGTGAGGCATCTTCCTAGCTTTGGGAGACAGCCTGCGCTTCCTGGGCCGGCTGGCTGTATATGCTACATTTTCTTGGACAGCTTGTGAGCTGGTGCTTGATTAGGCAGGAGAAACAAGGGGAAATTGGATGGGGGAGATTTTCCCAGGGAGGGTGAAGCCATAGTAACAGCCGCTTTCTTTGTAGAGTAACTGTGTAGTCCTGAGCTCATAGCGGAGGTATCAAACTAAGGATCAGGTAAGAGAGTGACCACCTGAAATGGATGCTGTGTGAGAATGTGCAGTCAACCCGATACCCTCCTTTCACGGGAGGTGCTGCCGGGAGGGTGGAGCAGTGGCCGGAACCCCCGGGAACTTTATCTGGCACCTGGCAAAGTCTCTTAGCCAAACCCAAAGTGGCGTGTCAGTTTTCATACAGGAGGCAGGATGGGCTGGTCCAGGAAGTCCGCCCTGAAGAGTAGAAAAATCCCTTCACGCACTCAAGGCTTTTGCTGTTCCTGGTCATCACATGGGCATCCTCCCAGAGAAGCACTGGGCCTGGGGAGCCAATGTGGCGCTACAGTCGCCGATCAGTTCTGGGTAGAAAAGCCAAATTTGGTGGCTGGCGCATGCGGTGACTCGCTGGTCTTAATAAAGCTTAACATTTCGTGCTGGGTCAGTGTTCGTTTCTGGCATGGGGTGCATTCCTCTCCACTGGGTGTCTGGAGGGATTTCTGGGGCATACACCTGTACAGGTAGCAGGTGAGGAAGGAACAGGCAGAATCTTCAGGGGCAGAGATGCTGGGCACCTTGGCGTTGCCCTTGCTGTTATTTTCATTCAGTTCTGGTTGATTTCTACGGAGGGACAGTGGTGAGGTGAGACAAGCACAGAAAGCAGGGAAGTGTGACAATTTAGGGGAGGTGAATACTTCCATTAGGGGGAAAAGAACTGGGGGAAGAGAATGAATAGACTGAAATGAGCGAAATAGACTTTTTTCTCTAGGAGCATTAGAAGCATCCCGTGGAAGTTGAAAAGCAGCATGGTACGGTACAGGCAGCCCCTTTCGCATCTGAAGGAGCTCAGCTGGCCAGTCCTGCCTTTGCAATTCTCTTCCTGCTTTTAACCCGCTCCGCCCCCCACAAATGACTCGGTGTACTTTCCTGTAAGTCTAATTCCTCCTTTCATGGAAAAGCCAAGCAGCCCCCATGCAGGCCTGTGGTGGTGCTTCCAGTGCTTGGCTTGCAGAGTGTGTGCTTGTCGGATCCCTCTCATTGCCCCCTGTGGGTGCTCCACGTCTGTGAAAAGTACTGGCAGTCCCCTTCCGAGATGAGGAGCAAAGACGACTCATCGCAGGCCCGGCCCGGCCCAGCCATGAAATAGTCTGCTTCAGGGAGACTTCAGGAGTCTGTTTCCAAGGCCCACTGATGGATCTTCACATAACACCTGTCACGATATTACCACCTGATGGGTAATGTCTGGGTGAGCCCTGGGGACATTTCCCGCTTCGAGCATTAAAAGTTTTCCTGCTGTGTCAGCTGGAAGTGAATTGTCCAGCTTAGTAGCTGTGTGAATTCGGCGCACCAGGGAAGACTCTCAGTCTTCCAGAATGCAAACGTGTCCAACTTGGCAGCCAAACTAGGACCAGATTACATGTTAGAATCAACATGCTTAAAGGCAGACTATCTAGCCACTTTTGTTTGGATGGAGAAGGCAGCCCAACAGCACCTTGGGAGCAAACAGTAAACCAGTCCAGGGTTGCAACAGGATCAAGAGATGTCCCGGGTCAGAGCCCGCTGGCCACTCTCTCTTCAAAGGAAACACTGCATGGAGCAGCTTGTAGCTAAGGTGTCCGCAGATGGGGTGAGGACCCTGGTGTGGCGACACTGTGCCGAGATCCGGTGCGGCCCAGCCACGGGCTGAGGTCCAGAAACGAAACCTTATCAGGGCTGGCAGGCCGGCTGACCTTGGCAGGGGCCGGGTGCTTCTGGGGAACAAACCATGGCATTGTGAATGCGCACTGGTGTTTCTCGCTGGCTTTCAGCACTGCTGTTCTCAATAGCAGGAAGCCGTGTGCTTCGCTGGTGGTGAAAGGCACTCTGCTCAGTGCCAGATATCTTATCTCGAGTCTCTGCAGCAGATAAGTTCCTCTCTCCCAGCTACTTTCTCCCGGTCCAGCTCATCTTTTCCGGAATGCTTGTGACGAAAGGGCAGTTTTATTCCCAAGTCATCCATCCAGCCATTCCTGGAAAATTTCCTGAACATGGAATGACGCCCCACTGACTGTGGGCTTTTAATAGTCTCTTGTAAACAAAGAAATGAAGCAGTTAGCAAACAGTGGGGAAAGAGTTTGACCGGCTGCACCACGCAGGCTTGGCTGCCATTGGAGGAGAGTGTTGGAAAGCGTCTCTTTCGCACAATTCCTTCTATTTCCAAACGCAAGAGCAGACTCTTGTAAGCAGTGGACCCACCACCTACTTGAGAGATGTCAGACTCCCGGAGAGAGGCCTTGCATCTTCCAGGTGCCTTCAGTCAGCTCACAGCATCATGCAAAGGAGGACTTCCTTTCATCTGCCCCGAATCTCCCGCCCGTCCTCTTTATGGGATGACTCCATTAGGTTCTGGTATTATAGGAGAGGCTGAAAAATGTCTCTCTCTCCACTGGATCCACACCAGGCATATGTCTGAACACTTCCATTGTGTTTCCCTCACTCACTTTTTTTTGAAGCTTATCATCAAGGAAGAAACTATAAAGACTGATAATTCTGCATAAGCTTTCATAGACAGGAAAACCGCAGCATCAAATGAAAACTTAGGACAGAATAGATGTCTTAGCATGGAAGGTGCCTGAAGACTCTTTGTCGCCTTTTGTTTATGGTCTCCAACCTTTGCCAAATGGACTCATCACTAGATGCGTCTTTGGGCATGTAGTGAGTGAGAGAGAGCCTTCAAGTGACTGGCAGGATGAAAAGGCAGTACATTCATACATGCCTACACTTCCAGAACCTCTCTCTCTGGAGAGAGACCTTATTCTGTCCTTGCACCATCCCTCTTGGACTGGGTGCTGCCGCCTTGGGGGAACCGGACTCTGCAGCAAAGAGCACCTGAGCGGGACACTGTAGCACTGGGGACAGTGGTGGTGCAGAACCAGGGACCTCTTCTTGGGGGCAAATTGCCCCTAGAAAGAACCCACACTGGGGAGAGACCATTTCAATGCCAAGAATGTGGACAGAGCTTCACCAGCAGTGGCAGCCTTACTTCACATCGACGAACATACACTGGGGAGAAACCCTATCAGTGTAAGGTGTGTGGAAGGAGATTCAGCACTAGAGGAAATGTTCATGCACATGAACCCATACAAATGAGAAGCCGCATAAATGCATAGAGGGTGGAAAAAGCTTCAGTCATAAGAGAAACCTTAAGATACATCAAAGAACACATACAGGGGAAAAACCATTTAAATGTTTGGAGTGTGAAAAGTGTTTCAGTATGAGTGTTCAACTTAGTTTTCATCAAAAAAGCCAGCACAGGTTTGAAACAGGATAAATACATGGGGATTAGAAACATTTTTAGGGCTAGCATATGATTTCTTGCCAATCAAAATGTTCAGATGGAGAGAAACTTTAAAGTGTTTGTTGCTTGGGAAGGGCTTTAGTCAGAATCAGTACCTCACTGAACATGAGAAGACCCACAGATGGGAAAAACTGTAAATGTTTTGAGTGTGGAGAGGGCTTCTATCAGCCATCAGACCTTAATGTACATCTAACAACCCACAAAACTATATAGACGGTCTGAATGTGAAAAGCATTTTAATGATTGTTGTTGTTGTTATTTGGGAAGTCGTGTCCGACCCATCGCAATCCCACAGACAATATTCCTGCAGGCCTTCCTCCACCATCCCCCAGAGTCCACTTAAGCTCACACCCACTGCTTCAGTGACCCCATCCAGCCACCCCATCCTCTGGCGTCCCCTCCTTCTT